TTTGTTTTGTGCGTCTGTCCGTTTCATACATAACAAATTTTTCGTCGCAGTTTTCTCATAAACTAATCATAGCAGATGCTTGAAATTTTAGTAACTCTTTGTTGAGGCATGCCATATGGTGGGATTAATTTTGATATGAATCTGATGTCAACTTCCTGTTTGTCTGTGCATCTGTCCGTAATGGAACTTGTGTATATTAACATGATAGTGTTTATTCACATCAGAGCGGGGGTATTCCTAGTGAGCATTGGCTCACAGATTTCTTGTTCTATATATCGGTTTTTGATTTCGATGAACGGTGTTACCGTGTTACAAAAAATAAGAAGTTCTGTTAAATACTTTCACAATGCTATTCCTCCTACTGTTTTGATCTGATTTCAATATACCTTGGCACACAAGTAGAATGCACTAAGATACATAATTCTGTGTACTATCGGTTTTGGATTTCGATGAACGGTGGTTACTAAAAATAGAAAAGGTATGGTTTTTAGCTTTACTGCGCCCTAAAAATGTAAAGACATCAAAAAGTTTTGAAACTGGCTTAAATATTAGTTAAATAAATGACTCTGATAAATCAGGAAAGAATATGGCATGAAGGTTTACCATTCTGCAAATATGACGTCATTAATCTGAAGCATTTCTCTATTTTCAACAGAAAAAGCCTCAAAATGGCACATTTCAAAGGTGATTTTCTTTTAGAAAACAGTGTCCACAGCCGTCGCCCACGTTAATTTTTTGATATTTTGTGCAAAATTCAATAACAAATCACATATTTCAAGATCTTTGTGGGAGATGCCTGTGGACAATGTTATCTGAAAGAAAATTCCATTGAAAATTGGTGTCTTCTGCAACTTTTTAAGAAAATACGGAAAATGCACATGTTTATGACGTCATAATTAGCCTATAAAAACACATGTGAGAAAAATGACTTGTATGATTTTTCTGCATTGAATTTCAATTATTTAAAAAGCATGTGTTTTCAACTTTTACACCAGTTTCATTTTTTAGAAAATCACAGGGCAAAATTTGTATGGAAACAATACCTTCTTCTTTCTGTGAAATACATTTAAAATGCTACTCCTCCAATTTTGGTCTGATTTCAATAACTTGGCACAAAACACTTTTAAGGAACTCAAACTCTTATTTTTTGATATCGTCGGTCCTATAATAGTGCCAAAAATCCAAAAAAAATAAGAATCCAATGCTTACATTTATATTCTCTAATTTTCTCTCTATATAATTGTAAATTTCATTTTACTTTCTACTGAATTTAGCGCATGTCAGACCTGGCGTACATGTAAAAGCCGTTTGTGACATTGAATGTTAAATGCGGGGGGGAGGGGGGGGGGACGTACAAATGTTATATTTCTATGATAAATAATTCCATTGATTTTAATTAAATTGAGTCAAAACAATGCACATTTTAGATACAAGACAATACAAGAGTATTGAAAATGCATATAATTCCTACTATGTATTCTACCGCGCAGTGATAAGGTTTGATGTGTTTGATAGGATATTGACTGCAATTATATAAGAATTCCAATGGATTTCAAAAGGAAAAAAATACTTTGAATGTAAAAATATACAGACATGAACATTCACTTTAATCTCTATCGGCTACCTATCAAATCTAGGATATCATTTTTTAAAATAAATTCTGACATTTATGTATAACTGTTCAATGGGCCAAGCACTTAATTCAACATTGTCAAAATAAAATTCAATTTAACAATTGCGTTTTCCCCGAAATTCCGAAGGCTGTTGTACAGTCCCATTGAATGTAAGAAGTTCAGCGACCGGAATTTTATTAACATAGTAAATTTATCTAAAATTATGGAACGAACTACCTTTGCATATTACTCAATCAAAGTATATTGATGTTTTCAAAAACAACTTAAAAAAAACACTTCTTTAGGAACTTATTTGTGGTTGTGTTAGAAAGTGCACATGGGGAATTGAGACGTCGTTATTATACCTGCACTTTCTAAAGAAAGTTCGGGTATATTGTTGTTACTCATGTCCGTCCGTCCGTCTGTCTGTCCGTCCGTCCGTCCTTCTGTCACACTTTTCTTCCCTGAACTCCTCCTACATTTTACACAGTAGCCTAATCATCTTTTGGGAGATGGTTGGTGGTGTCATGTAGATGTGCAGTAAGGTTTCGGAATTTTGATTTTGCCCTGGGGGATCAAATGGGGGTCGAAAAATTACGTTTTGTAAGCAAAAAGTCCCGTCTTCCCTGAACTCCTTCTACATTTTACACAGTAGCCTAATCATCTTTTAGGAGATGGTTGGTGGTATCATGTAGATGTGCAGTAAGGTTTTGGAATTTTGATTTTGCCCTGGGGGCTCAAATGGGGGTCGAAAAATGATGTTTATTTAGCAAAAAGCCTCGTCTTCCCTGAACACCTCCTACATTTGACTCAGTAGCCTAATCCTCTTTTAAGAGATGTTTGGTGGTGTCATGTAGATGTGCAGTAAGGTTTTGGAATGTTGATTTTGCCCCTCGGGGTCAAATTGGGATCGAAAAATGATGTTTTTTATGCAAAAAGCCCCGTCTTCCCTGAATTCCTCTTACATTTGACTCAGTAGTCTAATCCTCTTTTAAGAGATGTTTGGTGGTGTCATGTAGATGTGCAGTAAGGTTTTTGAATGTTGATTTTGCCCCTCGGGGTCAAATTGGGGTCGGAAAATGATGTTTTTAGGCAAAAAGCCACGTCTTCCCTGAACTCCTCTTACATTTGACTCAGTAGCCTAATCATCTTTTAAGAGATGGTTGGTGGTGTCATGTAGATGTGCAGTAAGGTTTCGGAATTTTCATTTAGCCCGGGGGGTCAAATGGGGGTAGAAATTTGTTGTTGTTTTTTTTTTTTTAAATATTTGATGTTGTCTGTTTAACGTTATCTCAATATAATCTTTTTCTATTTCTTTCCTTTAACTTACTCTGTTTCTGTTTTTCTCGTGGCTTTCTTTTCTTTGATGCGACCTCCATTATACTTTTCTCGGTTTCGTGATGGACCCGTCGATTCTGCTTTAAATATTTGTCTTTGTTTTTTGTCACCAGAAGTTATCAATAAATCTCTGGTAGAAACAGATTAGCAATCCATTTTCCTGTTGGTAGCAATTCCTGACGTTGCGTAAAAGCTATCCAGCTTAATAAAGCTAGTTATCCTGCAACTACCCCTTGCACTGACCTAATAAAGGTAACCTAATAAACCAAAGCTTTATCCGTCACTGCCCTAATAAAGCCTCGTGTATGTATTCCGACGTTCTTAAAGCATTGTGACGTCACGTATATTGCAATGTGTACGCCATGGCGTCGTAGTTTCAACTGCAGAGACGTGCCTAAAACTGTCAAAAATAGCTAGTTTTGGACCTTCAATTGTAAAAAAAAAAATATGTTGCAGGATAAACAAAATACATGATAACTGTCTTGAAATATAAGCGATATTTGGGCTCGGGTCGAAAACGTAAGAGGGCTCGGCAAGCCTCGCCCTCTATCACGTTTTCTTACCCGAGCCCAAATATCGCTTATATTTCAAGACAGTAACCATGTATGTTATATTAATCTGCTAAAAGTATGACCGCCAAACACAAACAGAACTGTTTCTTCTACTATAGTAAATAAAATACCGTTCACGGTAGCTCAGTCGGTAGAGCGCTCGCTTCGTGATCGGGAGGTCGTGAGTTCGTATCTCGGCCGCGACTGACCTAGTCGTTAAAATGGGTAGCAACTGTTCCTTCGCCATGCGCTCGGCACTTTGAAGTGAAAGTTGCGGGTCCTTCGGATGAGACCTTAAAAAACGAGGCCCCGCGTCAGCGGCAGGCGTTGGCACGATAAACATCCCTCACTGCTCAATGGCCCTTAGTGCCGAGTAAAGGTCAAAATTTGAAGCCCTTCACCGGCATACGGTGACGTCTCCATATGAGTGAAAAATTCTCGAGAGGGACGTTAAACAATATACAATCAATCAATCAATCTAAATAAAATATCGAAAGAAAATCACGTGCAGATGGATTTTAAAGAGACACCGTGATGCACAAAGAGGAAAATTGAAAAATGTAGAATTATTGCATGACCCATATTAATTTTGTTAATATATTAGGTTTCAAAATATTACAGGTTTCAGAACCCTAAAAACTTTTTTTTATTGAGAAAAATAAAAGTAAAAATAATTTCAGTATGCCCCATGACGAAAATATTGCTAAATACGTGCGCAGAAAAGTTGAATAAGATTCCATAGTTACCACGTCTAAAATATTATACCAAGGAATGAATGTAAGTAGACCAAAAAATTTGACGCAAACTTTTGAAAACGCTTTCAGAACATATTTCTCACTTTTGCATGCTCCAGTTGAATGTTTTTTACAAGCTTGAGCTAACAACGAAAGTGGCGTGACCTTCGGATACACGAAAACAACGAAACGGTAGATACAACCTTATCTTTTTCCGGCACATATTGTGCAATTGTTTCTTGCAGTTTAATTGTCATATCTTAGCTATGTACTCATCATTCATGTCTTTCTCTGTATGAAACAGATATCGTAAAAGAAACATGATTTTGACTCATTTTGTTACTTTAAACGGATATAGTGAAGAGGACGACGATGAGATTCTCATAAAGTGAACATAAAAAATCGTGTGGTCTGGTGCAGAGGTAATCTTCACAAGAATGTTGATGCAAACTGGAATAAAGCATTTTCAGCGACGAATGTAAGATTACTGAACAAGACACGTGTGAGAGGGAGGAGAAAAATTGGCGAAGAGTACCAGTCTGATCGTGTTCGTCCCATCAAATCGCAAATTAACTTTAATGATATGGTGGTGAATCACATATCACAGTATCGGAACATATTGTGATCTTGGTGGGAATATAAATAAAGGTAAAAATACTTCTGCCTCCTATTTTACTTTTGTTTGATCGCTACACAAAGATCTAACGAAACCCCATTTGTAGGTCAAATCCAGTGACCTTTTCAATCCACCAATCAGCGCATTGGCTTTAGAATCTTCGGTTCAGATTCTCGTTATCGGAATAAGCGTGAAATTATTGATATAACCAAAGGTGTTCCGCATGGAGTAAAAATGGCCGCGGCCATTCCGCATGTGGCGAGGACTCCACAGAAAATTTACAGCACAACGAATGTATGTTGTCTCTGCGGATTTTCTTTTGTGGTAAAAGAAGTAGACAACGAAGGCAACATACAAATAAAAAAATTAGTGAAACTTAAACTTAAGTTAACCGAAGAAAAGCAGACAGCTATTCGGGATGTCATACAGACTGATCTTCCCCCAAACGCTGAAGGTGTTTGTGTAAGGTGCTTTGGGAAGGTTGAGAAAGTGTTGAAGTACCAAAAAGAAATAAAAGACATACTGACAACATTCGAAGAGAACATGAAAAGAAACAGGGCCAAAACGCCAGGATCCTCCACCCGTAAAAAAAGAGGTCGGGCTTCTCCCAAGACACACGAACAAGTAGGTCAAATTTAATGAACTAGGCTAATTCACTTGTGTTCTTTAACACAGAAATTTAAAGCAGAGTTAAATTTTCACATAGTAGAATATAACAGCTGCAGAATACATAGTAATTTCACAGCAGTCTTAGTGATTGTCCAACAGACACGTGGATTTTGTAGCCTATAACCCTAAAAGATTTTTACCTTATTTTTTAGTTTTAAGTAATATATATTCCCAATCTAATTAAAATTAGATCTTTGATGATCCGCTCCAGTTTGATCGCCGGAGTGGGTCAAAGATCTTATTTTAATTAGACTGACATATTCCATTGTTTAATTATTTTCTTTTGTAATTAGGTGACCATTCACAGACCAGCTGTTGAGCATGCCACTGCTACATGTGTTTCTGAGACTCGCTACAGGCCTATAATGCCGCAGCCACCACAAACTGAGGGTATGTTGCAATTACTAAAATAGTTATGAATTAATGCCTATGTTTTGGACAAATAAACATGATAAAAAATGTTAATCTTAATGATCTGGACAGTTTACTTCAAACTGTTTGACATAAATTAATCTTATGCCCTGTTTACACAGAGAGTTTAATTCCAATCAAAGGTAAAGTTACTGCGAATAAGCTTCATATGGAGAATTTAATGCAAATTAGTTTAATTTGAATTAGTTTACTACTTATTAAATTACTTTGCATTAGCTATTGTGTGAACGCAATTCAATTCGCATCAGTTTGATTCGCATTAGTTTACTTCGCATTAATTTACTGCGAATTAAACTCTTCATGTGAACAGGGCAATAGTTTCTCATTATCAATGGATAATCAGAGTCAAACAAATTTTAAAGAAGTCAACATCTAAGCATCACAATGCATCATTATTATTATCATATTAAAAGTGTAATATTCTGCATTTTGCAGGATCATTACAAGGCTGCAAAAGTTTTCCAGATATTACGGGCCATGATACTTTAGAGGTAATGCCATTATTGTGTAAATGCTTTATTTGTTACATTGGTGAAACATTATCAAAATAATAAAATTAATATTATGATTAATTTTTGAAGTCATATACTAATCACACTATAAATTCCTTTTCATCCAATTAGATTGCAGTAGATGTTCTACGGACATCAGCTGAGCCTGCCAAGGAGGATTTTGGTACGTATCACATTTTTTTAATTTTATTTAAAACCAAATAAATGATCATGATGTTTCTCAACTCTGTAAATATCGTAATAATTTCAGAGGATAAGAGTAATATATATATGTTGGCCGTTGTCAGTCATAGGTCCAAAACTCGAAGCTACAAAGAAAGTCAGAAGATCTCTGGGCTTCAGCAAAATAATTGAGAAAGACATAGATAATTCTGCTTACACAGGAGAAGTGAAGGTGTCAAAATTGTTGGATTTGTTTGTTTTGTTTAACAGTTCAATTTACCACAGATTTTTCTGTTTTGTTTATTTGATTAGAGCAAACAATTCTTCCAAAACTCAGAATTATTTGTGTAAGGGGGGGGGGGGCAAATCACTTGAATTTGTGAAGTGAATTCAAAATTTGCTAAAGAAGTGCAAGTAAGTTGAAAATTTTAATATTGTTTTGGAATGCAAATAAAACTGTGCTTCTCTGGGATAGTATGGTTCAAATAATTTGGAATGGAAATTCTAAATTTTAATTGTATGTCTCTTATTAATGTGTAAATTCATTCCTGGTTGCTCTTATATATACAGGGTCATGTTTATTTGAATCTTTTCATAGAGAGGCATGGCATCAATTTTATTGTTTTAATTTTTTATGATTTAAGTTTGATTTGTCAACAAAAAGGCCTGTTTTACTTTATTTATAAACAATTATTAACATGAATAATAATAATAAGCACATTAATTTAATTTTGTATTCCTTCTTAATTCTGAGAGGTGGGGTATCAGAATATTTATGTCAATTGATTTCAGAATATCTTTTCAAATATACCTCTACCTTGATCTGGCATTTAATAAGTAGTAAGATATTTTGTTCATAGTATACTAATGATAGGCCTTTTTGAAAATTGTTTTGATTTCCATGTTTAGTTCTATCTTGCAACTTTTATTTCTTGGAATTACAGGGTCGATGACATACTTTTTGATATCATGTTGAAATTTTAATTTTCCTTGGCCTCAGAGAAAGGTATTTATACACAATATATCAGATAAATTAAAATATAAATTCACTTGAAACTCGGTAAATAAAATACTATTACTGTCAGTTTTTATATCAAATTGAATACATAAGAACAAAGTTTAAATAAGTTAAGCTTGACCTAGACCTTTTACATAAAGGGGACTAAATCTGGTATAAGGCCAGAGGCCGAAGGCTCAAGTGAGCTTTTCTGATCAAAATTTGTCCATTGTCTGTCGTTGTCATTGTCATCATCGTCGTCGTTGTAAACTTTCCACATTTTCATCTTCTTCTCAAGAACCACTGTGCCAGGAAAGATGAAAATCATGTTGAATCATCCTCAGCTGGTGTAGATTCAAGTCTGTTCAAATCATGACCCCCAAGGCTAGAGTGGGGCCAAAATGGCCAACCAAAATTTTACATAGGAATATATAGGGAAACCTTTTAAAATCTTCTTTTCAAGTACTTCAAAGAGATCATTAGTGATATTTATATGGAATCATCCTCAGGTATGTTTGTTCAAATCATGACCCCCTGGGGGGTTAAAATTCAAACCTTGGTAAACTTTCAGTTCTGATCTGATATGTGCTTTTTCCTAGCCAATGTGCTCAGGTGAGGGCTGTGGCCCCTAGGCCTCTTGTTTTTTATTGTTGTCATTCAAAATAACCAGAACTAAGGGAAAGGTTTGATCAAATTATGAAATGTGCTTCTTTCTTTCAGTTGACAGTGTACTATCCAAGCCAGACAAAGAATACCTATGTCCTACAAGAACACCATAAAAGAATATGTAAGGCAATTCTACAAGGAGTTAATGTGGACAAAGTCATTGTTGATGAATTGGTTGCTGAAAACCCCTCACCAGTCATTGAGGCTGTTGCAGATATCCTAAAGCAAGAAAGTCAGAGTATTTGTAAACAAGGTTCAGGAACTTTATTGAGAAAGAAAAATCTTGATGACTTTCTTTCCTTTAGCTGGGAATCTCTGAGCAAAGAACTGAGTGTTAGTTGCCCAAATTTGATGACCTTAATGTCTTCAGTTGTGTCTGATGTGCCATTACAAATAGACAGCAAACCATTCCAGCACATGCTTGTGTCAGTTGCTGTAGGGCTTCATGCTCGAAACCAAGAGATGTCAGTCATTCAGTACATCATTGGCTTTATACTTACACATGGAGGCTGCACACTAACGGTATTATTTTAAATTTCAGAATAGCTTAAACCATTGGTTAAGAAATTTTTTGTTGAATTAAAAAAAGGGGGGTTACATCACTACATGAGATTGTGGTTGCATATACTGTTCTTGTATCTATCTGTTAAAATACTGAGTATGAATAATTTGACCAGAATACGAAAAATCCTTGTCTTTTTTATAATTATAACCTTAAGTTATTAATGGAAAAAACTTTAATTGCTCATATTTTTAAAACATATTGTTAAAATTGATATCTTCAGGGCTACTCAAATGTAAATTTTAAATATTTTCTTTACAATCTATTTAGCCCAAAGTAGGTTAAAAGTTACAATAATGAGGAAGTACGGGTAAACATGATAAGTCAATAGAGCAGTTGATGCATGTTTCTTGTTTTAATGGTTTCTTATAATTCACAGGACATAGAAAGACTTTCAAACATAGGCTTATCAGTCCATCCAAGAACTGTGCATAATCGATTGACAACCTGGCATGACAGTCTGGATAAAGACATTCTGAGTATACGTGATTCTTGGGCAAATGGAGGACATCAAAGATTTCAGCTTATTGGTGATAACTGGGACAAGAACATTCTCCCATCTTTTCGAACGTCCCAACAGAAAACTCTTTCCCTTCACCTCTTCAATGTTATCGCGGTTGTAGACCGAGTACCAACTCATCACTTGCAGAGCACACCAGTTCCATTAACTGAAGAACTAGATTACTCGATGTATATTCCTTCAGTCGAAGAACAGGACAAACTTCTTCAAGAATTGACCTTTATATTTGCAACCTCTGTGTTGTCAAATATGCCTCAACTGGAAGAGCATTTCCGGCATGTTTATCCAGTGCATCTTGAGCATAAATACAGCTCTTACTGTGGAATGAAAACTACCCAGGTATATCATTTAATCATGTCTTTTAAGATAACTAAAATGAACAATTACATCTAAGACATAAGAAATTATAGAGGATTTCTTTCATTTTATTGACAACACCATCATACATTGGCATATATAGTCATGAATGCAACAATTAACATACATAAAATAAAATATGAAAGAAAGCATATCAGGCTTACAGTTGATTGTTATGAGATCTGTCCATCCTACCTTTTTATTTAGTTTCCTCTTGGACTGTATAAATGCAATGAAAACAAAACAGCAGAGCTGATACAGCTGCTAAAAGATCTATCAGAGAAATATGTGCCTCAGCGTGATGAAGAAATAGTGGAGGAGGTTTTTTTTGGAGGTATGTTTATTTAGATTTGTGTATATAATGCAAGGAAATTGTAAGCTGAAATAGAATCATTTTACTGCATAGTATCTTGGAAAAGTTTTGGCTGTGGCAAGAATAAAAGAATTTAAATTAAGAGTAGTAGCTTTCTTCACGTCTTTTTAAGCACTGGATAAACATTCATCAAAGTATTTTAATTTAGGAGATAGATTGACAGATGAGCGTGTTCAGTGTGCCCAAGCAGCAATGAGCAATGCAGAAACACCTAAGAAAAGGCTCGAGGGATTCATATCAAAAACGGAAGATTTCCATCGATTAATGAACTTCTTGGAAGTACGTTTTCACATTTTTCTTGATAATGTTTTTTTATACTAATATAATATTTGTTTATCTAAGGATAGTTTTAGAAACAAATGAAAAATAATTTTAATATATGTTTATAAGAGGTCAAGTAATAATTTATCACTTTCTCATATGACTTTGTTGCATCTCTAGTAAACAAATTTGTGAATATTTTTCAGGCAATATACAAATTGACATTCTCAACTGAAAGTGCACAAGACAGAGGGACGGTTTACTACTACCGCAATTTACTTAATGCAAGAGACGTGAAAGGGAAAGTAAAAAATGCATATCGTCCGCACAAGATGTTGTACTACACCATTCTGGATGCAATTTGTCTTTTAATGTTTCTTGAAGAATTGAATATTGATGTGAATTCAGATGTACCCTTGCCTAGCCACTTCAACAACTTGACAAATGATGAAAAAATACAGTGGTTGAATGAAATTTGCAGTAAAATACTGAAGAAATATTTCTTTGATGGCTCATCAGATGTTTGTGAACAGTTGCGTGAAATTACAGGAAATCAAGATCATCCCGAGAACTACTGGGTACAAAATTTTGAAGATGGTCGAATCCGATGTCACTTTTGTCCAAAAACATATGCTTATGTAGGCTCGTTAAAAGCTCACGAGAGTAAAGTGCACAATGTCACCCTAGCAAAACAGTCCAAAGTGTCCAGAAAGAAAGATACCAAAGCAGATCAGCTTCAGGACTATGTTGTTATGCTCTTCAAGCTTGTGATGCTGCATAAGAACCTTGACAGTGCTGTGGACATGGGAGATGGTGAAAGATCTGTAAGATCAACTAAGTATGAACTGCCAATATACAACAAGACCAATAAGACAAAATACAGCATTGGATCGATTCATCTGACAGCGCTGACATCTGGCTTACTTCCTGCAAGCCAAGAAGAAAGATTGAAAGCAAACAGATTCATCAATCTACAAGGTGGTCCAAATAACAACATAGCTCTGGATGAATTTGTCGAGATGCAAAATAGAGACAGCAAAGTAATTTGCTCAGGGCACCAAACAGAGGACAGTATTGTCCAGCATTCGAAAGAGTATCCACTTCTTATTAACATTGCAAAACACTATGACATTGTTAGTAGCATTAAGGGTAAGAAGGGATTCCATCATCTTCCTTCCTACAAACAGGACGTCAGAAAAATTCTTCAGGATCTCCAGGAGCTAAACATTTTAGAACATACCCCTAAGCGCATCTTGAAGTGTAAAGGCCTGACCACTGAGAGAAATCCATTCAACAATGCCTATCAAGGGTTGTCCACCATGATTCATCGCCATCGACCATCATTTCCCTTTCGCCGTCTGCGTGATCCCCACATTTAAACTTATTTAACTTATATTCCTAATGCACGAGTTGGCATGAATTTTTATGAACATTGTATGAAACAATGTGCAAATAGTATCAAATGAGAATCAAATGTTAAATTTAGGTGTTTTTCCTTGTCAGAGTAAAGAACCTTTATGTAATTGTATTGGACATAATTTAATAGATACAAAATGACTATAAACAGTGATTGTTTTTCGCATATATCTTGTCCATTCAATTTCCAACACTGATTTTTGCTCATGTTAAAAATTCACAAGGTAAAATATTTAGGTTTAAAAACCCTTCAGAATTTTTTATATTCTCTCAAAGCTAAATAAAACATTTTTCAATATGTTTATCCTTGTCACATATTGCTATCAAATACTTGTATATATCACATCTCATTGTTTATGCACTGCTCAATTACTGCAACATTTTGTAAATAAAATGTTAATTCTTTATTATCTAATCTGTGAAGAATCAAATCCAAAAGTAAAGTGCCACAAACTTTGATCAATATGTGGTGGATTTGGGTAATAAATTTTAAGATGAAATTGCTTAGGCCAGCTTTAAAGAATTTAAAGTTTGGTTGCCTTTTCCCAATTGAATTGCTCAAAACATTGTTTAGCCTCCAGGAAACATTTTTAATGCATTATGGAAAAAAGATAATGAAAATTTAGCTTTGATGTAACAATTTAAGGGGGAGGGGATTGTCCACATACCTACCAGGGTACTTGCACTGACCCATTTTTTTTTATCCCCAGTCATGACAGGACAAACAACCATGAAACAACCAAGCTTCTTCCATAACTCCCATGCTCATTTTCAATAGGAATATGATAGATGCTAAGAAGTTTTAAAATACCCTGTTAGAAAAAGTAAAACACCAAATTTGATTTTTACATTTTTTAATGTTTCAATTTTGATTTGAATTTCCATTACTCAACATCAGTTGCATCACTACTAACACTATCTGAGTCTTCCATGACACAAAGTCCAAGAAAATACTGCTGAAGTGGCAGCTGTTTACAGTTTTGACAAGAACACTCCAGTTCACAAATATCACAACAACTGTGAATCCCTGTTTTTAAAGAATCTAATTGGGATGTTGAAAGGAAATCTTTCATGATAGAAATTCGTCGACATGTCTGTGTTTTGTATATATGCTTTACACTGATATCTGCATGTTGCAGGTGATATTTATTGTACAACAACAATGCAATAGACTCCTTGCCATCTCGGCCAATTCTTCCCACTTCCTGTATCAAGTCTGTGGTTGTAGACGGTATACCATATAAAATTACTGAATGACAGTTCACAATATCTATGCCCATTCCAAGGGCAGAAGTTGCTATCACAAGTTTTATTTGACTGTCACCATCCTGAAGATTTTTAATAATGTCACTTTTCTTTTCATCTGATGTCTCGGAATGGAACATATCTACTTTATCGATTAATGTTGGGTTTTCATTACATAAATAATTGTACAACTCAGACACCTCCTTAACACTGGTAGCATAAATAATTGTGCGTGGAAATGCCTCCAATTCCAAAGAATCAAGTAAAAACTGCATGGACATTTCTATGGAGCTGTCAATTTTTTTAACATAGTATTTAATATTTGATTTATCTGGTGATCTTATAATTAATGTTGTACATTCTTTTTGTAACCCAAGTTCCTTCATAACTGTTCTACGAATTGTCTTGTTACATGTTGCACTGACAGCCAGTAAATTTGCAGACGGAAACATGGA